AGGCACGCGCCACCACGCCCAGCTAATTTTTTGTATTTTTAGTAGAAACGGGGCTTCACCATGTTGACCAGGATGGTCTTGATCTCTTGAACTTGTGATCCACCCGCCTTGGCCTCCCAAAGTGCTGGGATTACAGGCGTGAGCCACCGTGCCTGGCGATTAATATCCTTTAGATGTGCTTAGGATAACACTTAGCATGTGGGAGCACTCCAGAGTTGTTTGATTTTAGAACAAGTAGATTCACTGTATCTCAGACAAGATGGCATGCTTTGGTGAACGTCCAGTTTAGCTTTTGAAACTAAACAGAGTTTTGTGGGGTTGTTTTGCTTTTTGAGACAGGGTCTCACTCTGTCATCCAGGCTGGAATGCAGTGGCACAGTCATAGCTTACTGTAACCTCAGACTCCTGGGCTAAAGAGACCCTCCTGCCTCAACCTCCTTAGTAGCTGGGACTCTAGGCACACACCACCAATACCCGGCTAATTTTTTAACTTTTTGTAGAGATGGGATCTCACTTTGTTGCCCAGGTTGTTCTCAAACTCCTAGGCTAAAGTGATCCACACACCTTGGCCTCCTAAAGTGTTAGGATTACAGACGTGAGTCACCGCGCCCAGCTTGGGCTATGTTTTCTTTAAAGGCAAATGGTCGTGATAGAAAATGTGTTTCTGCCAGGCGTGGTGGCTCATGCCTGTAAATCCCAGCTCTTTGGAGGGCCAAGGTAGAAGGCTCACTTAAGCCCAGGAGTTTGAGACCAGCAAGGGCAACATGGCAATACCCTGTCTCTACAAAAAATTTAAAAATTAGTTGTGGTGGCACACACCTGTACTCCCAGCTACTTAGGAGGCTGAGGTGGGAGGATCACTTGAGCCTAGGAGTTTGAGGCTACAGTGAGACAGAGTGACACCCTGTCTCATTAAAAGGAAAGAAATATGCTTAGTGAAAAGCATAACTCTCTTCAGGGTGTGCTCTCTGCATCTCCAGAGAGTGGAATGGGAATTAGCTTATGTTTTTTGCCTGCTTCTTCCCTTTGGGCAACTAACACGCCTTTTAAAGCCTTGATGTTTCTTATTTTGGACACAGCAATTATGTGTAGAAGCCCCAGGCTTGGGTTCTGAGTCTAAGTAGAGAGTAATTATCAGGAGTTTTAGATGCTGTTCACAGAGAAAGTGAGGCATTAGGTGTTTCTAGGTCCCTCCACTAGTGAATGAGAGCCCAGCCAAATACCAAGGACAGAGATCTTGCTTCTTTCTACCTAGCTCCACCTTCCTCTCTGCATGCTGTGTAATGAGGCTGGAATGAGGAGGGGCTGGTTGGTGTGTTTATTCATCTGCCTCGCCTCTTGCGACAGGCTCTCCTTAGGCAGGTCCCTGACAGTGTCCTGCTTCCTTATGCTTTTCCTTCAGCCATGAGAAGTCCTTCCAGGGGAAGAAGAGGTCCTCTCGGGCATATCTTCAATGATTTGTTTTTTATTCCTCCCTGCAAATTCTGTAATTCTCCCTCTAGGGATTTAAATATACTTTCACTGATTATTATCTAGAAAAACTGGAAAGAATGAAGAGTCAGGAAAAAAAAGCCCATTATCCCTTTACTAAATGACAACTGTTCTTATCATTTTGTTATTTGAAATAAAAATAATAAAATGTCTCCATCTTCCTTTTTTTTTTTTGAGACAGGATCTGGCTTTGTCACCCAGGCTGGAGTGCAGTGGCACAATCTTGGCTCATTACAACCTCTGTCTCCTGGGCTCAAGCCATCCTCCCACCTCAGCCTCCTAAGTAGCTGGGATTACAGGCATGAGACATCACGGCTGGCTGATTTTGTATTTTTTGTAGAGACGGAGTTTCACCATGTTGCCCAGGCTGGTCTCGAACTCCTGGGCTCAAGCAACCTGACCACCTCAGCCTCCCAAAGTGCTGGGATTACAGGTGTGAGCCACTGCATCCAGTCACTTTGTCTTTTCTTAACCATTTTTAATGTAGTTGATTTTTCTTTTAATACAGGGGAGCACATACGGTGTAATCTTTTTCCCTATTATTATATCTTAAGTATGTTCTCAAGTCATTAAAATCTTTTGTAAACATTTTATTGACTACATAGTTCTGTTTTATGCTTCCACTATGCTTTAACTATTTCTCTAATAGTAAACATTCAGGCGGTTTCTAATTTTTCATGTCTATAAATCTTTGTCCACATTAAGCAGTCTGCTATCATTTTTGTAAAAGGGGAGAAAGCTTGGAGAGGGCAGAGATGGCTAGGGGCATGGGTGGAGGAGAGATTGTGCTATATACATTTTCATGTCTTTGGAATTTGGAACCATATATTATTACCTGTTGAAAACAAGAAAATAAAATATCAAACCTGTGAAAAAATATTGTCAACTGTGAAGATACCAAATTAATGTTAGTTTTTAATTTGAACAGTAAGATTAATTTTGATGTTAAGAACTGTTAAAATTTTCCTTAATCAGCTTTCAGCTGCAACAGACCGAATTTGTTCACTTCAAGAAGAACAGCAGCAGTTAAGAGAACAAAATGAATTAATTCGAGAAAGAAGTGAAAAGAGTGTAGAGGTGAGAAATTGACCTTACAGTTGGACAGCAAGTTTCTTATTCAGACACAGCTATTGTCAATCTCAAGCCCATAGCTTAATAATGACCCAGTCTTCAGAATGCAAAGGTACCTTGCTTGATGTCGGAAAGTGCCTCTCACCGCCATCCCTGCCCACGTCACTCTGAGACCACCTGGATCACTTGGACGGGGACTCCCTGCCTGGCCTATGGGCCTTTGCGTGCCAAAGTTCCTGCTCGTTCTTCAGCATCCACTCACATGCCATGTCCTCTGTGATGCCATCCCAGGGGCCATGGGTGGGCCTGGGCCCTCCTCCCATATTCCCATGGCTCTTTGTGTCCTTCCATGATACAGTCCATTTGCTGTTTGGTAGAATTGTTGGCTTGCAGCTCTGTCACCCGATACCTTGAGGATAGAGACCATGTCTGATTCACTTTTAAAGTCACTCAGTGCTAAAAACATGTTCATAAATACTGGATGATGGGTTGAATGAGAGCTTTTCCTGTGAATTGAGCCTTGTTCTGTTTTAAAGAAAATTAAATTTAAATTTCTTTATGAACGTAACTTTTTTTTATTTGAAACAGAGTCTTGCTCTGTTGCCCAGGCTGGAATGCTGTGGCATGATCTCTTGCTCACTGCACCCTCCACCTCCCGGGTTCAGGTGATTTTCCTGCCTCGGCCTCCCGAGCAGCTGGAATTACAGGCACATGCCACCACACCCAACTGATTTTTGTATTTTTAGTAGAGACAGAGTTTTGCCATGTTGCTCAGCTGATCTCAAGCCCCTGGCCTCAAGTGATCCACCTGCCTGGGCTTCCCAAAGTGCTGGGATTATAGGTATGAGCCACTGCACCCAGCCTATGAACTTACTTTTCAAATATCTGTTGACTTACTCTCATTCTTTATCTTCAAGTTCTGATATCTAAAATTTTAACCTTTTTCTATCATGCTTAAAAAATAAAAATTACCTTATTTTTAAAAATTGTGGTATATTTTTAAATACTTTGTAATTAGCTTGCTTTCCGTAAGCAAAAAGTTCCTCTTGGTGTCCTTGTTTGATATAGATAACAAAACAGGATACCAAAGTTGAGCTGGAGACTTACAAGCAAACCCGGCAAGGTCTGGATGAAATGTATAGTGATGTGTGGAAGCAGCTAAAGGAGGAGAAGAAAGTCCGGTTGGTGAGTGTGCAAGACTACTCAGTGTCTTTAGAAAGAGTTTCCCAGTAGCCCTCTAAGTTAATTCTGTCAGCACTTTTCACAGACATGCTTAACCCTGCTGATGCTCACAGAAAGTCAGAAGCTGTTTATTTAAAAAAAAAAAAAAAAAAAACCTATGTTTACAACTCAGTTGTGGATTGTTACCTACATTTTTTCCTGTTTTATAAATTTTGTTTAGGGATTGCTATGAGACCAGATTCATGGTTTCTTAGACAATACACTTCTCAGTCATAGCCTCTGGCCTATCTATTTCCACTCAACCTGTGCATCAGTGACAGAAGTTATTTATAAGCACTGTTCTTGTGCCTGCTTTATTTCTTTGCTTCTTTGCATGGATGCAGGGAAACATGTCCTGGGTCAGGACAGAACCATTTCAAAATGGTTGCACTTTTGTTGCTATAAGCTAGCAAACCATTCCAGAAATTCTAACATTGCACTATCAGATCACCTCCAGCACTCAAACAAGACAGATACTCTTTGAGACCATGCATTCTGATCTGTGGGTGTGGAAAACATGGTTGCTAGAACCTAGGCTCATCCAGCCACTGACCAGCTTTCTGTTGACGATATGGAGCCAGCTTTAACCGTACAGTAAGGAAAAGGGGGAAACGCCATCTAATCCTGCTCCAGACAGACTCTTTTCAATCTCCCTCACCTATTCTCACCTTCAGTTTGTTTGTTTTATTTTGTTTTTTTCTTTAAGACAGTCTCACCCTATCACCCAGGCTGTAGTGCAGTGGTGGTGTGATCTCAGCTCACTGCAACCTCTGCCTCCCGGATTCAAGCAATTCTCATGCCTCAGCCTCCTAAGTAGCTGAGATTACAGGCGCACACCACCACACTGGCTAATCTTTGTATTTTTAGTAGAGATGGGGTTTTGTTTTGTTGGCCAGGCTGCTCTCGAAATCCTGGCCTCAAGTGATCCACCTGCCTGGGCCTCCCAAAGTGTTGAGATTACAGGCCTGAGCCACCCCACCCAACCTTGTGCTTCAGTTTCTATTTTGTTTTTTTGTTGGGTTTTTTTTTTTGTTTTTTTTTTTTTTTTGAGATGAAGTCTTGCCCTGTCACCCAGACCAGAGTGCAGTGGCACAATCTCAGCTCACTGCAACTTCTGCCTCCTGGATTCAAGCGATTCTCCTCTCAGCCTCCCTAGTAGCTGGGATCACAGGCACCCACTACTGTACCCAGCTAATTTTTTGTATTTTTAGTAGAAATAGGGTTTCATCATGTTGGACAGGCTGGTCACGAACTCCTGACCTCAGGTGACCCACCTGCCTTGGCCTCCCAAAGTGTTGGAATTACAGATGTGAGCCACAGTCCATGGCCAGGCCTTCAGTTTGTATTTTAAGCATTGCCTGAGATTCAACCACAATTAAATACATTTGTGTGATCTATTTTAATAACATTTTCCTTGTAAATATCCTTGTAAGGAACTGGAAAAAGAACTGGAGTTACAAATTGGAATGAAAACCGAAATGGAAATTGCAATGAAGTTACTGGAAAAGGACACCCACGAGAAGCAGGACACGCTAGTTGCCCTCCGCCAGCAGCTGGAAGAAGTCAAAGCGATTAATTTACAGATGTTTCACAAAGCTCAGGTGGGAGTTGGCTTTGTCCATAGCACAGCCTGGTTTCTACTGCTTGCCTGTCTTGTGTCATTCTTATAGAATGATTGAATAGACACATAGAGCCCTTTGTATGTGTCAGACCTGTTCATAGGACCTATTATGTGTTATTGATTTTTATCATCAGAGCAGTCCCTGAGAAATGGAAATGGAAATGACAAGGCCGAACCAAGTAGTCCCAACTACTCAGGAGGCTGAGGCAGGGGAATCACTTGAATCTGGGAGACAGAGGTTGCAGTGAGCTGAGATTGTGCCACTGCACTCCAGCCTGGCGAAAGAGCAAGACTCCATCTCCAAAAAAAAAAAAAAATTATTTAACATTTCTGATTCCTATTTTCTTGCCAAAACAGTCCCATTTCATTTTCTGTGGATATAGCTTTACTCTTCCTATAGCATCTATGTCACAGATAATATGAGACAGCAATAATAAACTTATTTTTTCCTGTCATTTTAAAACTTAATTGGCTGGGCACAGTGGCTCATGCCTGTAATCCCAGCACTTTGGGAGGCCAAGGTGGGCGGATTGCCTGAGGTCAGGAGTTCGAGACCAGCCTGACCAACATGGAGAAATCCCATTTCTACTAAAAATACAAAATTAGCCGGGCATGGTGGCGCTTGCCTGTAATCCCAGCTACTCGGGAGGCTGAGGCAGAAAATTGCTTGAATCCAGGAGGCAGAGGTTGCCGTGAGCCAAGATCGCACCACTGCACTCCAGCGTAGGCAACAAGAGCAAAACTCTGTCTCAAAAAAATATGTATTAATCTGGCCGGGCACGGTGGCTCAAGCCTGTAATCCCAGCACTGTGGGAGGCTGAGGCGGGTGGATCACGAGGTCAAGAGATCGAGACCATCCTGGTCAACAGGGTGAAACCCCGTCTCTACTAAAACTACAAAAAATTAGCTGGGCATGGTGGCACGTGCCTGTAATCCCAGTGACTCAGGAGGCTGGGGCAGGAGAATTGCCTGAACCCGGGAGGCGG